AATTAAGGCTCCTGGTCCCGCAGCCGTGAACTCCGCGTTGACAGTAGCGACATAATTGTGGTAGGAATAAAAACCTAGTCGAATTTACCCAGTCGATTTATCGTATAAATAAATAGTGTAACAGTTTGACCTAATCAATTGATTCGATAAAAGTAAATTACTGAATAACATACAAAATGTTAATTTATAATTTAAAAATTTGTTTACAAAAAAATAAACGCGATAAATACAGAATATATATAGCTTAGTACCGTTACCGACATGTCCATATGACAGAAATTCTTATGCAGCGTCTTAGGTGGAGAATCGATGAACTATTAGGCGTGAAAAAATGACATGTTGACTACCCAATTTATTCTTGCGTGCCATTTCATTAATATTCGTTAAATGTTAGTACTGTGATATGTGACGTGTTCATGAAACCTGCAAAATTATCCGAAAACTAAGATTAGCAGGGAAAGCCCAACGTAGAAGGAGAATTTTCTACTCATACAGACAGCTGTCAACCGTGTGTTTTCTCGCATAATTAGGCTTCGTTTTACTGTTGATTTAACGATTGTTTATAACCTGTCAAGGAAAAAGCATAGTTTTCGGACAATTTTACAGGTGTCTTAAAGCGATCCAGAGTGTTACTTTGTTAAATTATCATTTTATTTAGAAATGGCACGCAAGAATTCTCGGCGTGTCATTTCTCGCTTCTGACGTCACGAATCTAATATGGCTGCGGTGACTACCCAGGAGCCTTAAAATGGTTAGTGATAAAATGTAATTTAATTCTCTACTAATTATAAAATAGAAAAATATGTTAAATATTTTATAAAAAATGTTATAATATATTAACAAGTAATGCTTTTGTGAGGAAAAGCCAATACTATCACGCTCGAACCACCTTAATAAAAAATGTACAATAATCTCTTAAACACATATTAAAAAAAAACACCTACTAAATTAAGTAAACTTTTAACGCATTTTTGCGAATTACCGTAATTTCACAAGCTTCTCTTCTGTAATCACTTTCTTTTTAATTATTTTGTGACGACTATATACCCAAATTTTTGATAGGCTTTGATCTTGAATTATACTGTTCAAAATTGGCGACCAATCTCTCAAATTAACATGATCAATAGAAAACCGCAAGCAATTCTTTTGTAGATACATTTCAATCATTGGCAAGGGCTTCACATTTTTTTCGCGACATAATGCCTTCATTAAAAATCACATATTTTATTGAAAGAAAATAAAAAATTAAGTATATAAGAGATTCTTAAATTATATTAATCTTTAATTTACTCATTCAACAAATGTACAAATTTTTATAAATTATTTTATTTTAACATTTATTTTATTTTTTGTAGGTAATAAAATAAATTTGTATTTTTCAAATATGATTATAATTGGTAAAAATTTATATAATATATCGCAAATTCTAAAAATTGCATGCTTAAAAAATTTTATAATAACGAACCTTGTACGTCCATTCAAATAATCCATTAGAATTTTTCTCTTTAAAATTCTGCATTACGTATAATTTTATGAAGTTACAGATTTTCTATCTTATAATATCTGATAATTTTTGCCAAAATATATTTATAAAAAAAATTCAAAAACTGTCAAATTACACGTTTTGAACGCATTAAAAATCGATGTAGAAATACGGAACATTTGAATGCGTATACTATTGACATATAGACGTTTCCAGCTTCATCTTGTTGTATGTAATACTTATATGTATGTACATACATCTATATGTAAGTACATTTTACTAATGTTACTATGTCAGAAAAACTTTACTATTTCTTTCTTTTTTTGTATTTTCTATAATTTTTATTTGCTTATAATTGCATAAAATTATTTAAAAAATGATAACTGCTTATTGTATCATTATTTGCAACATGCAATTTATATTATCAAAATAATGAGAATAAGTTAAAAATGCTTATTATCTATACTTGTAAACACTACAGTTAAGATAAATGAAATTATTGATATCCATTTATTTATAATAATAAAATAAAGAAGAAGTAAAAAAGCAAAAAAAGAATTATTCGCCAAGAACATCTTGATCTATAAAAATAGTTGAAAACGCGATAAAATTTCAGAGAAATGAAACATTAGATACAAAAATTTATAATTAATTATACAAACAAGTTTGAAGAGTCATGCATTATAAGTTTAAGCTGTGCAATAATTATGTTCATATTAGAGAAATATAGAAGAAATCTTGATAATACATACTACTAGTAAGGATAAAAATTTTTTCTTTGTAAAACACATGAAAATATTACATATATAAAAAAATGTATATAAAAACGATAAATAATCTCAAGCAATTCTTACGTATAAATTTGTGAATCAATGCATCTCGAGCTGTGCGTACAAATTGAAGACACTGAAGTACAAGAGAACATTAAAAAATAATGGATAAGAAGTAAAATAGATATACAGACGATAAGCTCTAGCGCAAAGATAACTTACGTCACGGAAATTCTGAAACAATCCTACATAGCCATCTTGTAAAACAGCGTTTGTGTTAAGCGATTAAATTTACAATGATAATTCTCGGGCCCCTTGTATTTGCTACTCGCAAATTCTACCAATTCCCCCCCTCCCCTCTTATCGTTTTTATTATTGACTTAAAATCCCCACTCAAAATTTAAACATGCATGAATCTTTCGAATACTAATCTCTTTGTATGTTTAAACACTCAAATATATATGTATTAAAAAAAAATGATAATAGAAAACATGAGATATTTAAGAAGCTTTTAAGCAAATGAAATATGCAAATCGTGAAGTCATCTGATCGTCCTCAGGAAATCGCATAATTTAGCTAGTGAGTTTGAGGCCACTGTGCTGCCTACATTTGAGTTTGTCTTCATTAAAACCTCGTGCACATTACAGAGGACCGTGTCGCCTAACAATAGAGCGCTCGCGATTCTAACTGTTCGCCAGTGAAATCATTATCATCGTCACCGTTTCACAGTGATCGTTAACATGATATCGCGAAAGTTCTGAATTTAAAAATTTTATCTTTTTACTCTGCTTACTCTGCTTACTACTTCGAAATTGTTTATTCTAATGCATCGGCAACTCATGGAAACGAATATCTGATTTATTCCATATTTACTTATACACACAGCAGTGCAACACAATCATTTTGGAGACAAACTGTTTCTTTATGTATGTTGTAATGTTTATAGTTTTGAAAAATTACAAAATTGTTTTTGTTAAAGTGATTATTGTTAATTGCAGTGCAAAAACGCATCTGAATAATTTGTTGTCAAAGTACTGGTATATACATTCGGTAAATGTACATATGACACTGACTTGTTATCACTGTTTATCTCCGAAGACAATTTAATGGCTTTACTTCTCCATATCAAAGTGTTTAGAAATATTTTTATCGTATTATATATTAAATTATTAAACGTACGCATTGTACTTATCATTGTGATATCTCGGCCGATCTTGTAATCAAATCGTTCATTTTTCAAACTTGTAGAAATGTGTGTGTGTGTGTGTGTGTGTGTGCGTGTGACAGTTTTTCTAAATTAAATTTATTACATATTTTTCAACTATAAATAGAATCTTTTACCGTGATATATGAAGACGTTAATAATTATTTAAAAAATTATTTAGTTTACATAAAATTAAAAAGTATTTTTTTATGTATAAACATTTTTTTACAAAGTTGGAATTGCTTTCTTTTGGTACAGGCATAAAAAACTTTTAAAACATTAAAAAGTAAAATTTTAGAAAAAAATTTCTGAAAATTAGTATGTTTATTAAATTAGCTTGATTAAATATTTTTTTCTTTTACTTTTAAAAAAAATTTTACCTTCGAATTTTCTCTGCTGCTTTAACTTTAAATATCCGTATCTCGATATAGGAATTAGATATAGAGTTGCATCACTATGAAAACAATGCCTCCGATAATTATGCACATAATACTATTTGCCTGTTTCATGCCCACACACCGCGTAATCGAACGAATTACATGAACGGCTATCTCGCGTAGAATCACGTCTTTAATTGCGCACGTCGAGAATTGTGGCTGCCAAGCGATACAGCTATTTGAGATGCGTCGCGAAACTTTTGAATTACATGTAGACACTTTCGGCGGAAGATAAGATAAAGCGAACTGGGAAAACTGCACTGACGCATGACCCCGTACGTGCAAAATCTTCGTCGCGGTCTTCATATGCGTTCAATGTCGAATTAATCGTCAACGGTTGCACAATTTGAACGATTTTCACGGTTCCATCTCGTGATCAAACATTTAATTTAATTCTTCCACGTGCAATTATCAATAATTACGCTCTGTGCCGACGTAGGAAACTTTGGTTAATAAACAAGCAAATAAAATCTAAATGATTGTAAAAACTTCGAGATTTTTCGAGATTTTATCGACGTGCTTAATTGAGTAACTTAAACGATTTAACACATTGATTCAGTGTTCCAATCGGCTTTTGTGGCACAATTCTTTATGCATTAAGTAATATAAAATAGTGTTTGCTTAATCAATGTTTGGGTTATGCAAAATCAGTGTGCAGAGAATTATATTCTTTGTTCTCAGGATAAACAAATTAATGAAAATATCGCGTAAGCATGAACGAGCAAATTTACATGGTGAGTACACGTTTCGTTTAACGAGATCAAATTATTAGAGTTTTTTTCAAAATCATATGTCCTTAAATGTCACTTTCGTTAATTGCCTTTGATAAAAAGTAACCTAACAATACTTGTCCCATCTGTCATCGAGACTCTTTGGAATCTGACTGGATGCTTTTCCAAGTTTCTGACAATGCGAGAAACAACAAGAAGATACTGGGCGAAGTAAGAATTCGTCTTAAGAATGGGATGCAAGACCAGCATATTGGAGTGCATGAGGGACAAAGGCGAGCTGGAGAAAAGCATATCGTCAATTAGAAGCTCTCTCGTTACAAGCGGTACGTTGTTTTCTCTCTTCCTTTTTTCCTTTTTATTTTTATTTTGTTTTCTTGAATTTTCAAATTTCCTTGAATTACCAGAATGTAAAATGTTACGTTTTAAATCTTAAATGTAAAAGTTAGAATCTAAAATAAAAAGAGCGGACACTTAGAAAATATAAAACTTTATATAATAGTACACTCACAAAGGTGTATATAATTTTTAAAGTTTTATAGTGAAAGTACAATTAATAATTTTAATAATATATTCCACACTTCACACACAATTTTATATTTAGAAAACACTGCTCCATTTTTTTCACACAATGTAATATGTTATTTTAAGAAATATTATTGCAATTATCATGCAGTTTTATGTTTGATGTTAATTATTTTCTATTTTTTGATAAATGGCACTGTGAACATTATAAGTTACGTAGATACGTAAGTTTTTATCTAAACATTTTTGACGCAAAGCTAAATGATTTTTTCTGATTGCAAAATATTATCAAGTTTGCACATATTCGGCTCCTGAACGCACATGATACGCGACTGGAGAACGTCAGACGTCAAAGCATAGCAATTTTCTCTCGAAGGTCGAATTCTGGATAGTTACGATCTTGGTCGATGTTTATTCGGTAACCCGCTTTAACAGCTACGGGAAGTAGCATATGTTCGTTATGAATTTGCTCTTTAAATAACTACTTCCGCTTTTCCATTTTGCCATACATTCTATTCCATTTTAATCTGTATATATATATATATATATATATATATATATATATATTTTTGTTTTGCATTTTATTAAATATTTTAATTAATATAGCAAAAAAGCTTGTATCTTAAAGATTCTAAAACACATTATATATACCTAAATTTTATTGTACGAGTATAATTTTTTTAACTACTAAATTTATATAAAAAATTATATCCGTCAAAATATTATTCATTAAATTCACTATCAATATAGCAATAAAACTACAGCAATAAAAATTGATAATAATTTATACAAGACGTATTTACAGCAGCAAGAAAAAAACGTGGTCATAAGATGATTTTTTGTTAAAAAGGAATTTTGAAATAATTTTTTTTGTAACATTATTTTTGAAGGAAAACAACTTTAAAATTACGATTATTAATTAATTATTACCGCTATTTTATTTTATTATTTCTTTAATGGTCATAAATTACTGAGCCAATAATGGATATATGTTTTATTATAATAAGAAATATGTCAATAACAAATATAAAAATTGTTATCTGGATGATTTTATAGCAAAACGAGATTTTGTTGAATAAATAAATTTTTATTTCTTCCACGACTTTCTAACTACGATTAAGGTTAACAAAAGTTGAATAACGATCAGATCGTATTACCGCACGTGATGGATGCGTACCTTTCATCAAGGTAGAGGGAAGGACGGGAAGGTAGACTTCAGGTAACAGTCATTCTCCTTGACCTAGTCTACAACACTGACAACACAGTGCATGTGCCAACTGGAGTCATCGTTCGAGACGTGAATTAATCGGATATATGAATCCAAAGAACAAATTCCAGTAACACATTTCTAATTTTCGATTTAGGAGTCTGTACAACACAATGTCGTATCGGGGTCGTATAACATTTCATTTTCAAGGACCGATTCTAGAATAAGCTAATTGTTCCTATCTTCAAAGTGCTACACTATCTCGACTTTTATTTCTGCATCTACCTTTAACTTAATGCTTAAGGGTCATTCAGCTTAAAAAGTATTTTTTATTTTTCACTCTAAAAAATATTGTTTCACAAATTTTTTTTTTGATTCGTTTTTGTGACAATATTTTACAAGACAGTATTTTATGTTTCACTTTTTTTTAAACACTTCGAGAATATAACAAAGCTATTTATCTTACTATATTCTTGAATCATGTCGTTAGACATTGATTACATGATATTTATTTCTTGTGATGTCTATCGGTTTCTTAGATGGTAATTCTTGTGAAAAAAGAATTGAGGTTTATTAGGCATACGTAACTATAGCCAATGTCGCGATCATGCATACATATGTGCGGAGATTACGTAAATGACAATCTAACAATTTTCTTGATTTCTAAATGTTGTAACGCGTAGTAGCTTATAAATAAATATTCCACAGCCGTATAAGTTCAAATTTGGTTGAGATATCGACGTTTTACAATCAATCATCGGATACATATATTATTTATATTTTTATCAAGCAATATTTTTATCGAATCTACGTATATAAATGCAGGTCAGGCACTTCATCGATCATCGATTCTCTAAAGAGCTTATCAGATACTTCAAAATACTAGTTGCTGTAGTCAGATTGCTGAAGTAGATGCTGTAGACAAGTATTTACACGTAGATATTGTTTACAGATGCAACAGAGACTGACAAGGATCAAGAAAGTCTGTACCTTACGTTCAGCAAGCATCAATTTGTCGCCGAAGAGGATGACCACAAAATAGCACAATGTTAGTTATATTTAATCATTCTATAAAACTATTTAACTAAAATCAAAAATTGGCATAAATACTACTTGCATTTTATATAATCTGAAGGTTAATAATCAAGTTACAATCTTCAGAAATAAGAAATCAATTAAAGAGAAGATAATAATCAAGATTATTATATTTTATTAGTACTGGATATTTATGCGTGTATTTTCCCTCTCGATTAGTTAAATAAATTAATTAAAATGCGTTTGTTTGATATATAGGAGATCATTAAAGATCTTCTATATCAATTATTTACTTAAAATTGATGACGTCTACGTTATTTTTGCATACGTAAGCAAGTTACCGATTGCTTGGATTTTTATCTTATCTGATCTAAGATTATATATAACATATAACAATAAATTCATTTAAATGCTTATTGCAACATACAATTCTTATTCTATTTGAAACGATTGCCGAGATAATTGCTAAGATATTTTGAAAAATAATTTATAAATAGGTTATCTGTATGTTATTATTATTTAAATATATTAATCAAATTAAATATTTACTTTCTTTGCTCCAAGCCTAATAATTTGCAATTAATATTTATTAATACAATATTACAATTATATAAATTATATATCTAATATCAAAAACATTTTTGACTGTTATTCTATATGTATTTAAAATGCAACATATTTATCGCTTCTGTTCTAATGTTTATAAGATAAAAATTATATAGAGCTTGGAATTACTTTTACATAAAATTTCATGTTTAATTTTTATTTGTGTCATTACGTTGCTTTTTATTATTATTTTATTTTCTTAAACTTGTTTTACGGAGATACATATTTCTGCCTGATATCGTGGTGAATAGACCTATCACAGGTCTCCCCGACGACGCTATCGCGTCCCTCCTGAACTGGAACCACTCACTCACAAGTAGAATTTTAACTTGGTCGATTCGGCACTCTCGGTCAGTTGCTGTCTTTGGGCCGCAAACAACGCTTCGTTCGCAATCGATTTATACATATGCCGGCTTTTATCGTCGATTTAATCTACTCGCGATTTCACCGCTCGATTTCATACCCATATTTGTTTTTCAGTGTCATTAACAGTGAAATCTCATAAAATTAACCTCGTCGAGTGCATGTGTTGTTTGTGAACAAATATTCGATTATATTGTCTTTAAATGCAGTGGCAGAAGAAAAATCAATTAGGAGAATACAAGCCAGATTTTGATTTAACTTAAACGCATGATTAAGTATAAAAAGATATAAAAGTGTGGATTTTTGGTAATATTCTTATTTAATGATAATTTATCTTAAAAAAGTTATTATAGAATTGTGAAAATTGTGCTATTACAAAAAATTTTTATTTTTATATATACCTATACCTATTTTCTTTTCTACTCTTGTAGAAAATAATTAAATTTAATGTAATTTTTACATTATATATTTTTTATAAAAAATTTGTTTCCGGAACAATTTCTAATCGAGATTATACGATTATGTATATTTACACAATCTTGATCTTTGAAATAAGAATAATCTATCGATTATTATCAACTTATTTAAGTCCAGGCAACTGATTCAATATATTCTAGATTAAAGATCGATAATATTCATCGATTCTTTTTTATCGTTTTAAATTACGTAATCTAATACGCAATTTAATAATAATTTTATTTTCAAATATTTTGTTAAGATGAATATGTTTATAACAATTTTGTCACCAATATGTAACACATATGCATTTCTATCTTATTTTGGAACACCTATACTTTTTTATTTAGCTATTTGTAAATTATAAAGACAAATTTAATTCTTTCTACAGTTGTCTATAAATTTAATTTTTTTCTAATATTATAATCAATAATTCTCATGTTTGTTATATTTAATAAGCTTTTATTATTTTTATTATAAATTTATAATTCTAAATACTTTTACATATATTTTGAATATTTATTATATGTTATTTTTATTCTATCTTTGACTACATTTTTATATTAATTAAATGACGTCAGTCTTTTCTAACGAAAAAACGTATTGGACTAATATACAAAATTGCAAATCGTTTATAAAAATAATATCAATTTGCGTATGTGTGCAAAAAGTTATTCACAATATTGTAATACTAATTATCATAGAAAAAAAATAATATGTCACTTTTGATTACAGTAATCCACGTTTTTATTTAATAATGTAATAAAATTTATTATAAATATAAAGAATGTGAGAATTTTTCTTATTAATGCAAGTTTCAAAAATCTTTTAAAAAAATTTTTTATAATAAAAAGTTAATGTGGATAGTGTAGAAAACAGACACAAAAAGGCATACAATTTCATAATACGTAATATCTTACGATATCACGTAATTTTGTATAATTCAATGATTGTAAGGCCATGAACGTAATTCATATGGAATCACCGCCGAATAAATACTTCTTCTCAAGTGAGGAGGAAAACAGCTTAGAAGATGAATTATTTCTAAATCATTTCTTTGGTGCGTAAATGATCATACTCGGTCATAAGTCCTTGATTTTGTTAAAAACGTTCATTGTACAATTTCTTTTAGTAACATTTATCATCCCATAAAAGTAGAGCATTCCTTCAAAAAATTAGAGCAACGATCAATCTATCTTCTCAATTAGATCCAATTGACTTTTAATTGCAATTAATGTTACTGTTGACCCACAAACTCCATAAAATAAGCGTATTAATTACATAAACGTTTCTTCAATAAACTTTGTCACTATAATTACATTGGATTAAATCATGTTTATTGATGAATTAAGAGAAGAAAAAAAAAACACGATTTAAAAAGTCCGAAAATCTAATATCTGAACAAAGTGTTGCTCTATTATACTGAAGCATGACTCTAATTGACAGATTTTCAAGACAGATTACAAAAATATGGTTGTACTTAGCGATTACTTATTGCCAAGAATTTTTGACTTTTTGAAAAAAAAACATCCATCTTTGAGTCCCAAGTTTGATTAAATTTATAAATATTTAATCGTAATTGTTTCAGGTAAAACAGATGTGCTGGATAATGAAGATCAAAAAACATTGTCCTTCGACAATAACACGCATGATGACGGCGATTACTTGACTATCGTAAGTTACTCTAACATTTTTATTTATTGTAATAAATATAATATGGCTTATTTTATAATTAATTTTGTAATTATCTTTGCTTGCATTTTGTGTTATAATATAATAATATTAATTATTAAACATTTCGAAGATTTCACTCATCCGATATAATTGATAAAAGCTTCAACAAAATTCTTACATTTAACAGTTTTTAATATATTATTTTACAATTTATTGTTGTGTTAACAATATATAAAGTTTTTTATTTTTTATTGTAGAATAAATCTGTGAACCATAAACTTATTAATTTCACTTATAATAATAGAACAAATTCTTTAAATCTTTATCATAATTGTATTCTTAATGCAGCAAAAAAAATGTTATTTTATTAGAGATTTCGAAACAACTCATGAATATATAAGCAAGTACAACGTAAAACGATTAAAGACGATAGTTCACGCAGTGCGTGACGTATGCTTATATCATATTTCTATTAATCTGACTTGCTATCTAAACTCTTTCACATTCAAAGATAATCAAAAATAAAGATCACATAAGTATTGTCCTACTTCAAGTTTTTGAATGCAGATAAGAGGTAGATTAATTTCCGTGATACCGTATTGACTGTACGTAAATAATAGCTAATTATGTACATTACGTAATAACTTAATATATTCCTAGTAATATTATATTCTAATAATATTTCTAGCAATATATAAAGTTGTTCCTATTGCTTAATATTTAAAAAATCAAATATATACATATATACAAATTCAGAATATAAACCGCTATATTAAAGATAAATAATTTTAAATTATTTTATATTGTTATTATAATTTTAAATAGAATCGTCATCTTTGTTACGAATTGTTAAAAATTTAGAAAAAATTAAGAAACTCAAAATTCAAAATTGAAGAAACAGAATTGAGCAAAGTTCGAAATAAAATCAAATTTTATTCACGACAATATTAACACGACGATTTACCTATTATAAATGTTAACTTTAACATTTTGCTATATTTTCAATTTGAAAATAATTTTCTATCATCATAATTCCATTATTTCTAAGTTTATTACTCTGTGTTTTCTTTTTATCTAATACTTTCGCGCGAAAGAGTATCTACTCAAATGCACCAATAATTTCATGCTGCTTTTTTATAAAATATAAACGTTCATCATCTAATTTCAATAAAAGATATTTAATTTTAAAAAAGGAGAAAAATGAAACATTCTAGGGAAAGAAAAAATCTTGAAAAAAAATCATGCGGAAGTAAGCATATAAATAGCTCGAAAAGGGAAATCATGCAAATCCCGCTTGCGAGGGATGTTCGATCGTTAAGGGAGCGCAATGAAACAAAAAGAAAAAAAAAAAAGACGAAGAATAATCTGGCAAAGGGTAAACCCTTGCCGTCAGTCCTCGCCGTTCTCACAGGTCTTAGTCATGAAGCCCGCAATCAAATCTCCCCTTCCATCCCTCCTACGATTTATACAATAGAAACCCTAAGAGTAGCGATTCTAAATATACACGTATTTTCTGCGTATCGCTGACGCGGCCTTCTACCGGGACGTTCTTTTTAATAATTTGCGCGACGTTTACCTCGCGACATAAAGTTTCGCGAAGGGGTGACGAAAGGGTAATGCTCGATCGCCTCGATAGTCATTCATCCCCTGGTCTGATTAAATATGAAAATCGCTGAGTGCGCTTCGACGATAGTGAGTATAAACGCCGGTTAAATAATTGATTCGTAACGCGCAATCGCGGTGAGTACGATTTCTCTCATTCGGTAGCTTTTCCTCGACGAGTCAAGATCTACTTGAGCTCCGGCTGAACAGCTATAGACGGTCTATAGATTGTCTATAGACAGCTTCTGGTGAGCCGGAGAAGCCGGATAAGGAACGGCATTTGAAATGTTAAAGTTACTTGCGGCCGAAATATGCGGATGTGCTACAAGTGGTCGTCGTCTCGAACTGTTTGGGTAGTGTCAGATAGAAGAGAGTGTTAATTAGTCTTGTGCTATGTGTGTCGAGAACACGTGAGACAAAAAATCGATCACACAAACAGTGCGTGACACTTACTGTGTCAGCTTGAAATTCTCGAACCGTAAAGCTACGATAAACTTTCCGTTATTTCAAACAATAGCGTTCATTTTTCTGCGTTAATGAACATAAACTAAGCCCGAAGAAGTGTTTAGTTAAATAAAAGTTTGGAAACGTATTCGAATGCAATAATATTACACTCTCTTATTTTCTTCACCTTACTCTGTCGCTCCCCTTAATCATTGCTTCTCGAATGCACTCGCTTATGTACTCTCTTATAGTCGAGCGATAATTCAAACGCAGTAAAGCGCAGTAGAAGTGGTCACGCAAGGCAATTCTTCTAATTGAATTATCGAGAAAGGTTCGGTGTTTCGGAGGTAGCACAAAGAAAAAAGTTTGATGCTATAGATTAAAAGCGAGCGTATTTTGCTAAGTTAAATGCTAAACGGATAGTTCACGAAACAACCTGTTGACAGAAACGCTTCGAATTTTTTCCACCGCTTCTTCTGTGTGACGTAAATGTTTTCTCTCACTGCCACATTCGGTTCGACTGATTTCTTTATCACTTTTTTCTTATGTTTTCATACAGAGAATAAATGAAATAAATGCGCGTTGTTATTATCGCTTACGTTCACTTATTCACTCACTCTGTCTCTATAGTTCTGCAGAAGATAATTAATACCTCGAAATGACTTGCGACAAATCAATAACACGACGATCGCAGTTTTATCGTGAAGCTTTTTTCTCGGTCGCAAAACTTTCCCTCTCTAAATGCTGCCTAGACGAACTTTTTCATCCCAATGTTTTACCTTCGTTCAGTAAATAAAAAAAAGCGAATATGAGTCTCGTGTATCCTTTGCTTAGCGTGCACTTTTTTTTTTTAAATTTCAGTCTCTGATTGTTTCCCTGACTGACACAATAAAAAAACTTTCATCGAACGTACCCAGTACTGATCATAATTTCCCTCTCGGTTTTCCTCTCGAATTTCAAAAGCTCTGCATTTCAACTGACGACAGTGTCGAGAAACGATCTCAGTCACAATAACTCAAATAGCATCTGTATTCGTAAGTGATCAATAATAATTAGTTAACAAGATAAAAGTTATTTAATTGCAAATATATATGTATATATACATTAAAAATATAAGATAGAATAATTTTGATGATAATATTAAATAACAAATTTCACTTTCTATCATTATGTGATACAGAATGCATATATTCACTTTTAGAAAATAATAAAATTATTAACTTAAAAAAAAAGTTATTAATAAAGACTCTAATGATATATATATCAAATTAAGAATGTAAGGAACAAATGAGCCTATGCTGATTGTTATTGCAAATGTATATTTGATTTACAAGTTTATTCATTTTTATTTGGAATAATATTAATGAATAAAAACTGTTGTAAAAAGTATTATTTGTCATATATGTATATGTATACGTTATTTAAAGTTCATGATAAAAACTATATCGCTTATTTATATATTTTTCTTTCGTAGTTTTTTATTTCGACTGTAATTATATATATTCTTCTTTGTTTTTTCTTTGCACTGTAATTATAAAAATTCTAGTATATTGGTACGTTGGCGTCTTATCGCAGATAGACGACTTCTGCTTTTGATATATCGAGCAAATTGATCTCGCTATCTGTCAATCGATGATTAGTATCGCGATGATCGTCTTCAAACGTATCGTAAACGTCGTGCAATTCTCGCACTATTTCGATATATTTGAGCATTAGTGTTAAAATGTAACGTTTAGTGTAAAATGTAAAACGTTTGTTATAAATTAACTTAAAAAAAAAATTATATAAAAATGCCTTAAATCAACGTATTAATTTTTCAATTGTGCTGGGAATAAATGTCATATGTGTATAATAATCAGCAAACGCAAGCTGCCCTTCGAGCGTAGTACATTGTTACTTTGCTTCTATTGCTATCGCGCATCGAGAAATGAATAGACAACAGACTCTACCGGTGCTCTATATCTACGGTGATACCGACGACAACAATGTTCATAATGAAGAGTCGCGGACATGGTATAACAACATCCTCGATGCCATGTGTTGGCGTATGCAAAAAAACAGTGCTAAGAATAGAATGCACGTGCCTGAGTTGACACCTCAATTAAAGACACGCATTAGGGTACGAATTAAACATCAATTACCAGTTCTCGGTGAAATTTTATTCATAATTTTTTCACCTCTTTCGAAACACGTACTTAATACTATTATATTCTAAATTAATTTTTCTTGTGAAATAAAAATATTCTATGACACATGTTTTTAATGTATAATAAATATATTTTTCCCAGAGGACGCAGCCAAGGTTACAATAATTTACAATAACTACGTATTTCATAATCAATATTTATCATTTTGAAGTGTGTATACAATCGCTAATTTCGTTATTCGCCTATCGTCATGTACTTAATATATATAAATATTGGTTAGAATGTTCAATGATATATGTAACGTTCTCTATTAATTTACTGCAAATGAAAGAACAGATCACGTATTATGAAAATAATAAAAATGTGGAAAAGTGTCCACGCGCGCGTCGTCGAGCAAAAATTTACAAACTACTTGAATCGACGTATCAAGATAAACAGGAACCAGTAGTATGTTCTGATACCGATATCGGTACATTAATATTAAGTCTCTGATTAGATTCGATTAAATAAAAGCATCACTCGTGGCAACCATACACACGTTATAGCAAAAAATCATATCACAATATATCATGAATTTATTATTCACTTTTGCAAATCTGCTATTCTTTGTTCACAGAAGGGGCCTCAAGATCTTAGTACTTATTTATTAACAAACACCGTTCCTAGCATCGTGAAAGTAAGTATCATATCTGACAAAATTGTAATTAAAGATTTCTCGGCATTTCTAACCAATATGTGAGTTATATTTTTGTTTCTATCAAATTGAAACTTTTCCCTCTATTGTGCAGTTATTATTAGTCTTTAGCAAAGATGATCAGCAAATGGATATACTTGCTACTACTGCGAGAAGATTGGGATGGAGTGTGTCAGTGGCAAAAGATGCGGAAAAAGCGATAGAGCTTTTCCAAAGTCGTGCTCACGAATTAGTGATTATCGATCATAGAGGACATCGTGCTGCCAAAGGCGATGCTATTTGTAGGTATGATGTTTAAATAAAATATAATATATAGTATATAATGTTTAAATAAAAGACATATATAAAAATGTTATATCAAAGGTAGAATGTATAACTTCTAATCAAATTATGCAGAGAAAGTTATGTATCAAAATACAGAAAAAAATATGTAAATTGCATGTATTTTTTAATTATTATTTGTACTAAAAGTATATTAAATGCTAAAAAAATTTTATTTTTTGTGAAATGCATGAGAAATTTTCTTTTAATTTTAATAAAAATTGCAAAAATATTAAATTTCAGAGCAATCAAGTCAAGTCCCGTTTATCATAATTCTGTCATTATAGCACTCGTAAAAAAATCGTAAGTTCTGCAATATATTTTTATATTATTTATATCATTTACTTTTATTTAATATATGGATTCTTTCATGTCTTTTAGATACTTCATGCTCGACGAGAAAGACCATATTGTGGCATTGAACTTATTAGAAACAGGTTTTAGTAGAGTAAGCATTTTAAACAAACATAAAAAAGCTTTATAAAAGCACACGTAAAAATTCTAAACATGTTTTTTGTAAGGCTGTTTTTTTATTTTTTCTCATATTTTAGGCACTGATGGAATGTTCACATAAAGGTATATTAATAAATGAATTAGTTGGTATATATACTAGCTCATTGTTGCCCAGAACTCAACTTGCCGCAGCACATGCATTATATATTGCACTTGACAGGTGTCGCGATATGGTGCATGTGACCAATGATAAGAACATTATACAGGTATTATAATTAACAAAAATTGGAATTTGTCATATTCTATATAGCTATTTTTTTTTAGCAATTTTAATTAAAATATTAAAAATTATACATTTTATCTAATTTGTTCAAGATTCTTATTTCGCTAAATATAAATATCTATGTAGAGTGTAATGTCATATTATTTTTAGTTTCTAAATAAAGTGAGCGAAAAATTGTTAGGATACAAGACAGAGGAAATGATGGGAAGAAATCTCTCAGAGATAGTATATTACGAAAATTTCGCTCTCATGGAACAACAATTGAGTAAAGGTCGAGAATTTGAAGGAAATATGAATTGCAAAAGGAAAAACAATCAAATGATTACGATTAATTGTAGGATAATTCCGTTCTGCACTACACTAAAGTACGTTCTTTTATAAAATAACAAAAAATATTTTACATCAATTGCAAGTTAACAAATTGTATGCATTTGCTAACCGAAATCTTTCCTTTCTTAATAAATTTTTATTATTTAATATATTAATTTCAATATTTTGACAAAATTTTTTTATACGTCTACATTTTTAACATTTTTTAGTATTTTTAAGTATTAGGTAAAACTATCTTAATCTCTAAAATATCATTATTATTAAAATACTCTATTTTTTATTTTAAATACGCTCGATTTATTACATCGTTAATTTATTCTTTTAATTATATTATATTATGTTATATGTATAATTATATTATTATTATGTTATTTTATTCATAGAAAGCCAACTCATTATATATACGTATACGATACTACATATCTATCAGAAAATTCAGCGCCAATAAGTCCAGTTGGTAGCCCATTGCATTCTCCTATTAGAACAAGTGTATTATCGAACGCACGGAAATCTTCGGATGTTAGATCTGGTATAAGCGAAGGTAAGATATTTCTGCAAATTTTTTCAAAAATTAATATTGTATAATAATTATATACACTAACCATCCAACTGATCTATATTGTTATTATCTCCATTTATCAATATAAAACATAAAAAAAGTGTATTTAAAAGCATAAATTATATCATCGGCAATCTTATAAAGCACTTTGCAACTCGTATTTTTACATTTAAAAAATCATTGTGTAATCAATAAATTGATATAAATGAGTTACATATCATTGTTGTAAATATAAAAAAATTGATAGCACAGAACTGAAACACCTGTTATAGGTATCAGATAATGCAAAAGCTTTATCAAAGTTTTATACTTCTATCACTTTAATATTAATCTACATCATTCATATATTTTCACTGAAAATATGTAAAATATCTTGCAACTATGTGCAACGTATTACATCATAATTCTATAATAGTACCAACTGTTTCAATGCTTCTACACAATATAAAATTTTATTATAGGTGAAACTACAATTCTTAAAGCATTAGTCATAATTCTAAAATAATTAGTATAGTTAAAATTATAACTTTTAACGCAACTTTAAAATTGTTATTTAGACCATTATTTTTTAATATCATAATTGATCCTATAATATTAAAAGACTCATGTTCTTGTCATAGGCCGTAGGCGGTCTAGCTTGCAAAAATTGCATACCTTGCAATTAGAGGCTCCTATTACTAAAGTTATCACGCTCCTTTCAAATGCAGTCACAGATACAACTAATCCAGAAACAGCAGCGCAGATTGATAAAGTACGTCTCGTAATTAATTAACCCAAATGCTCGTATCACTTTATAGTTACGACTGTACAATTAAATTTATATTGCGCAATACGTTTCTCAGGCAATCGATATCTTAAAGACGACGGAACTTTACGTGCCGCATCTTAAAGAAGATAGAGCGATGTACAGCGATCCAGTTGCGACGGATCTCGTTGGTGCATTACTTTCCGTAAGAATTTTGCTACTTTTTATTTTGTGGTAAAAATGTTAAATTTGCAACAATGAATATAAATTACGTATTTTTGCCTTTAAAATTTTCTTTTTTCATCTTTTCCGATATTTTCTATTGCTATGCGGATAATAGTCTACGCGCACACCATGGGAGTCTAGAAGATCGTCGTCGGATTCCGCAAGAATATCTACTATCAGAGCTATCACAAGCCCAACCACTTCGCGGATGCAGGTAAAAAATTTTCAAGGACCGCAGGAAATCGTGGAGATATTGGATAGAAGCCTCGATTGGGATTTTGATATATTTAGACTCGAAGTTTTAACGGATCAAAGGTACAGTAAACTATATATATATATATATTTTTTTTTTTATAATATTGTAATAATTTCATAATTGTTAATTTGGATCAGACATTACAATTTTTTATGTGTGATATACAGTCTGATTCCTAATTTATATTTCATCTTTTTCAGATATTTCACGTATTATTATAACAATATTTCAGAAAATAATTTTAATTTTATTTTTCTGCGCTATCTCGTGTAAATATAATATTTTAAATAAATAAATATTTTTTATAATTTGTTTGGTATAATGGTTGTAGGCCACTTGTTTTTCTGGGATCGACTATTATGAATCTGTACCAAGTGCCTGCTAAGTTGAATTGCGATGAGAAAACTATACAAAATTGGTTGGCCATTATCGAGCACAATTATAATACTGAGAACAGTTACCATAATTCAACGCATGCCGCTGATGTCTTGCAAGCGACCGCGAGATTCATGCAATCAAAGAGACTCAAGGAAATTTTAGAGCCCTTAGACGAGGTTGCTGCTTTAGTCGCCGCCGCAGCGCATGATATCGATCATCCTGGACGATCCAGGTGAGACAGACCGCTTTCAATATTAAGAGACTAGAAAAAAACGTATTTACAAAATTGTAAATTTTTAATAATACATATTTTTATCCATGAAATTATAATTATAATTTGTATAAACATTCAAAAGCTACAGAATTTTCTCTTCATTGCATATGTATTTTTCTATAAATTAAAAATCAACATTTATTTAACAAAAATTAAAGTTTATTATTAACAAAAAAGTTGTTTAATGTCAAAATTAAATATGTTTATAATCAAAGCTTAAATTAAAAAATTTCTTCTAGTCAGTTTCTCTGCAACGCCAATAATCGTTTGGCAATACTTTACAATGATCTGTCGGTTCTCGAGTCACATCACGCAGCTTTAACATTTAAATTATCATTATCCGATGACAGTGTAAATATTTTTAAAGTAAGTTTTTTCCTAAGCACTTTATGTTGCGATTTTGAAAGCGAGTGTGTAGAATAGTTCCAAGGCATAATACTGGATTAAATACTTGCTTTAGAATCTGGAGCGAGACACGTTTAAGCTGTTGCGACAAAATGTCATTGACATGATTCTGGCAACCGAAATGACAAAGCACTTCGAGCATCTGGCGAAATTTATGAACGTCTGCAGCGCAAGAATTGGTGACGGTCAAGAGGTAATATAATCTGTTATTTATTATTGTTATTAAAAAATAATCGATATTTCTATTTTACATATAATATTAAGCGCACCACAAATTTCTATTAAATTTCTACTATGTTACATTGCTACATTTATTATGATTTTCATTGATAATTTATCTGCATTTTTTTTTAATATATTGAAAATCTAAATAATTACAATTTAATAATAAATCTTATTATTTTTATTGCAAACATAATGGTATTTAAAAAAATATTTATTTTTCAATATCTTAAAAAAATAATTTTATGAATATAAAACATTTGGAATTTACTTAATGTTCAGATTATATAATACAGACACAATTTAAATTTTTTACTTAAATTTGAAAAAATTGTTTGTAGACTTATGCAGATTCTTTAGACATGTCTGTGATATTGCAACCAGAGAATGTAATACTTGTTAAAAGAATGATGATCAAATGCGCGGACGTATCTAATCCTACGCGGCCACTAAAGTGTTGCATCGAATGGGCGAAACGAATCGCCGAGGAATATTTTAATCAGGTAAATACTTTGCTCAACAAGATTTGTTTATTAAAAAACATTAATGTATTATTTCGGATTTATAACATATATTCGGCAATAATTTTCAGACCGATGAAGAGAAAAGATTAAAGTTGCCAGTCGTAATGCCAATGTTCGATAGAATGACGTGTTCAATACCGAAATCGCAAATTGGTTTCGTCGATTATATCATCAATGATATGATTGAAGCTTGGGATGGTTTGTACTTTTAACTATTTTTCTAAGTTTTGTTATAAAAAGTATGCAATTTTTCATTTTTTTAAATTTTATTCCGCAGTGTTTATCGACATGCCGGAAATAGTGGGCTATATGCGGCAAAACTATGAGAAGTGGAAAGAGTATAATGTGAGGCATCAGTTTAAATTTAATTTGCAATTTCGATGTTTCGATATAAATGTGATATTAATTAAAAATTCTATAACAATGATATAGTCTTTATTTCTCTAATAATATCATTCTTTGATTTGAAGACAGACAAATATTGAATTAAATAAATTTTTAATTTAATTCCGATATAATTCTAAGTTTACTAATATATCGTTTCGAATTGTCTGTCTTACAGGAACAAGGTATATCCACTCTGCAGGACGTCGAGAACCTACAGCAACATCCCGAAATGCAAATATCGCGACGATCTTCGTGAAAAGCGTGCCGTTTTGTTTTATCGTTACATTTACATTTGCAATTATTGCAAAGAAGTGTATAATATTTATATATTTAAGGATAGAAAATATAGCGACGTCATGCGCCGTCAAATCGTTTCCAAAAAGAATGTATGCAATTCGTCATTTCGCGCGTCACCAGTATCTTCTTTATTTATGTATGACTCCATTTCCTTTAATAACATTCGCTGTATTATCATTTTAAATATGTGACACACATTAGCAAGATATATATAATATAAAGTAAGAAATACCTTTTTGCATGCAGCTTCCGTGATTGTTACTTGAAATGAAATCTTCGTTGCGGGTTTGATGTATATTGATTATTAAATTGTATATCTGGGAGCAGCTAATAAATAAATAAGAATCATGAAAAACATTGCGTCTGAATTATTTTCAACTTAATTCCTTGCCTAATTTAGCCGTTAAGTTTTGATGGTAGTTGCTACCTAAAGAGGATTGGTATAACTTTAATTAAAAAGAGACTCATCAGTGTATGTCGGATTCCACTTTATTGTTTCTCTTTAGCCAAGAAATGGCGTTGGGCCTATTTCTGTGCGCTGCATGAATACAGAATTAAGTAAACAAGAAAAAGTCAGGTACAAATAAATCTAAGCCGTAATGGAATTTTCGAAATGGAATTTCGCGTAATTTTTATCAACGGAGCATATGGTTCGTTATGCAAATTACAAATTTTTCATTGTATGTTAATACAGGAAGTACGCACTCACTTTTTCAATCTAAAATCACTGCCCTGACGTAACGTTATCGTGTCTAAGAACAATAATTGTGTTTATGCTGTTACAAATTAGAAAGAGTCAGTATAATAACATCAATAATCCATCGAGTTACAAGTGTCGACTTAACAGATGGTTACTAAGTCACATTTATCGTAAAGATTCTTACGTCTGCTGACATATGTTACATATACATATACTTTACATATCATAATACTCCTTACAAAACACACGAATAATCATGGCCGTTTTATCCAGTATCAACAAAATATTAAGTTTTATTCCTAGACGATGAGACAATTAGAGTGTCGAGTTCAGAGTTTATTCGAGAAGTCTGACACACAAACATGGAATATTTCACGACAATATCTCAGAATAAAGATAAAGACAGCAATTTCTTAAGATAAAATTCTTGCCCCAATTATCGATTAATACGTTAGATCTAAAAATGTGATATCGAGTGACAAGTAATACTACTCGATATTAGTATAATTCTATAGTAATATAGACAGATAAAGTAACTTAATTACGTGCTTATTGTTACTACTATAATGCCACATAATTATGATTCATTCGAAGATCTAGAAATTATGCTTAAAATTAAATTACTCGCGTTTTCGATACACCTGCCACAAGTGCTTTGCCAAATTTGTGAATTTCTTTCGCTTTAAGCGCCGTTTGTGCCAATAAATAATTCTTCTTTTTACCCCTACAAATTAGAATTTGTCGTTGACTATTCTTTTCAAAATCTGAAACTTGACTTTTGCTTAATAAAGAGTTTCAATGATGAATATTTAGTTGGAATTTGGTAAAGATATTTTTGCTCGCACGATCTAAATATACTTATTTTACAAAATGCAATTCCCCACACATGTTGTTCATTGTTAGTGACAAGTACTATATTTTTAGGCAAAAGGTGAGTCAAGAGCTATTTTCGAGATTGTTTCATTAGCACTTGCCGCTAGTAGATGGAATTCGCGGAGTAACGAAGTAGCCTAGTATATATGTATTTTCACGCAATACTTTCCTAAATTAGGCTTAGCACTTAAAACTTTATGTATTAGTGATTACTTGATGCTTACTTTAATACTTTAAGTATTAATAGTATATATATTTAAAAATTTTTTTTTTTGGTGACGTGCACGTCATTTTTTATAATTGTTTTGTTTTATATCCGCATGTATTATTTATGCGCATATTTATGTCCATATTATTCCGCGCCGATTGCTGTCTTTATTGGTTGTCATTGTCAAAATTATCTCGCGTGAAATGATGCACGCAAAACTGATCAGATACTTATTCTTTCATGCAAATAAAATATGCTTTCGTAATTATCAGCCAAAGTGATTAAGTTGGGGAAATTCAAGATTGTTGACGGCTCGACGGGACTTCCGCGACAATCTATGTCGCCAATTATCGCGCAAAGACAACATAACACCGGCGTTAATCATAATTTTTCATATATGTATATCTAACGAGAAAGAAGCAAATCGAAGGAAACGTATCTTAAGAAAAATGCGTATAATCCAATATCCTAAAATAATACGCGTAGGCGTAGTCCGTATTAAAAAAAAAAGAAAGAAAAGCGCTTTTAGCACTCTCGTGTTTTTTTTTAACTTCTGGTAACCATGCATACCTAATATTTCTTCACGAAGGCAAAGTTTTATCAATACTTAGATCGGTATTTTATTCACGATAGCGAGAAATGTCCAGCATTTGCTACAGTTTGGGAACAAGCCAGCATGTAAACTGATCGTTGCGAATGATTGAAGATGCACTGTGTCTATTTCGATCACAGATTTCTTGATTGATCGAATGAAAGCTTCGGAAAAAATATTTTGTTCATGTTACGTTTAACGATGCGACATCATTCTTTCATTCGTTATAGCATAAGAGATGTAACATCGATACTTTCTTCGGACGTCCGGTCCGTTTTTACATTGAAGATGACGAACATTGATAAACTACAATGTTCGATCATCTACTACAATACTTCAGAGTCGCGACAATCCATAAGAAATTTGCGTTAATTTCACGCAAATAGAAAAATCTCACATTAAATGAATAACGTTAATTTTAGACGACTATTTCTTTACTATCGTAGACAAATTATGCATCGTCAGTTCATTGTCAAACTTTTTTTCACTTCAAATGTTAAGGCGTAATGCCTCCTGGCAATTGCAAGATAAATGAAACCAGCAAGATCAATGAAAATCGAAATAACAAGAATACAAGTAGAAGTAGAAATATTATCGCGAGCATTATGCGGAGCCAAATTTTGACAGCCAAAATCCCACTCGTGGGAAGTGTATTCTTAGAAGAACGTCAGTGAATGTGTCACGTGACATTGTAGAAGCACGCCTCCGCATCACGGCGTCGAGACGCCGATGACGCCGATGACGCCGATGACGCCGACTATTTAAGATGGACCTGCAAACTCGCGCCGAATCAGAAATCAACTCGACTCTGGAATCGTCTGGTGACCTTCAAGTAACCGATCGAATCTTCACGTTTCCACGAAAAGTACAGTAGCACTGTTCTCATTGTGTTTTCTCGCGAGTGTGTTTGTGTGTACCAGAATTCCCGCCGCGTCCCCATTAGTCCTAATAGTTCGTACAAACCCAATTATTCAACGTACAACTTACGGGTAGTCTTAGAATTACTTAAAAGTAACGTTAACCGTCTACTTCTCCACTTTTGCTTTTATTTTTAGATCAAAGTGAGCTTACGCGATACGTTTTGTGCGAAATAATCTTAAGCTAACGGTCCTTATGTCCACGCTCGCAAAAATCTCCCCCAGTTATTTCCGCGAACGAATGCGTGTGTTATCTACCTTAGTTGAGAAGCAAGAAAAAGTGACTGGGAAGCATTTTATCGCTAGTCACGTATTGTGCGACCGATATTTGTGTTTGATAGTCTAAACGCGCGTTTAGATGCGTATAATGGACCGTGTAGCGGAGATGAAGATGGGGGGAGAAGGGGGGGGGGCATGTATCTTTAAACTAGTACCTGTGCTATCTGCGATTAATCGTCATTGTTGTTCAGTCGCTTGGTTGGTCGATACTTAATTCCCAATAATCCGATTCAAGGTTGGACTTTCGCTTAACTCTCTACTTATGCGAATCTTATGCGAATAGACTAGCTTTACAATCTCTCTGTTGAGCTTTCGGGACTTTAATGGCTTATGACTAGCCTACTTTAATGGAGTTCTTCGAATTTTCTTTGAATTTTCGTGATGGATCGAGAGATATTTTGCCGCGATTGTAAAACCTAATGATCTTCCTTCGATCTATATCTTGAGTCGTTCGTAATATTTAATCGAGTCGCGTTTGGCTCTGCGCGCGAAAATTTTATGACGTGAGAGATGTTCATAAATTTACGGAATTAAGTATTTTTGTAGAATTGTCCCACGTGATGTGATAAGATTCGCTTAAAAATTTACCTAGCTCATCAAAGGGAGAAAATTTCAGTGAGAATGAAAAAGAATCGTACACATGTAACACTTAATGAGTGCCGTAGATAGCGAATGTTGATTTACATATACGCGGATCTAATAGCATTCTTAATCTAGACCTTAATCTAGACTTTAATCAGAGACCTTAATTTAGACCTTAATCAGAGACCTTAATTCACAATTTATTCCGTATTGATGATTAGCCTAAATTTTAACGACATGTAACGGTCGAGAAAATGGCTCTTATTGTGACATTAAATTTTAAATGCATGCGGTATCTCGCTAACGACGTATATCCACTCCGGAATGGATGACTCGGATTTTTGGTAAGTCTTCTGTATATTGAGGTGTACTTCGGCCGTCGTAGGATCATGTGATCAGGTTTACACTAAGATCATGTGTGCCTGTATTCGTCCTTGTTTATTAATAGTTTTACACTAGTCCGATATTACGTTCATTGCGCTTAATTACGCTTAATGTAGTAGTCTTAACTCGATTAATTATCCATGAGAATTAATTAGTTTTACTGCTTAAAGGCTTAAAATTAATTAAGTCTGCTGTATTGTAGAGAATTAATTATGCTGTACTGAATATGTGATTCGATTGCTGAACTGCCGTTCATTTACGCCTATTTCTCGCCCGAGACGTCTATACTTCATCCTCCTACGTCCTTCTTAATGCAGTTTTTAAATATTTTTTTTTTTAAAGATCGAGTAAAACACCGACCAACCATTACCGATTATTACGCTGATTTACAGATGTCGGTTGTGCCGCTCGTTTTTCGCGATTGGTGGGATGACATTGATCGCCCTGTCTCGCGGCTTTTGGATCAGCATTTCGGCACTGGTCTCCATCGAGACGACCTGATCTCGAGCCTCACCGGTCTCGGCTTAAATCGGCCCTCTCTACGCTCGATTTTCGGGAACACGTACTACCGACCGTGGAGGAACGTGATACGTCAGAACTCGAGTGGGTCCAGCACAGTTCAGCTGGACAAAGATAACTTCCAGGTACGATAATTTCTAGGCTAAAGCGATAAGATCAAAAATAAATTTGCATTCTCCGTGTTGCTTTTGTTGATCTCTACGATCTTTAATAAAATTTGAATAAAAAGTCTCGCAAATAAAGTCAAATTTTTTTATACTTAAAATTTTGTTTCGCCTTTACGAACCAAAATAATATAAAAGTGCCTTTTCGATTTAATATATTTATGGATATTTTGATCAATTTCTTTAATAGTTTTTCTGAAAGATAAATTTACTTGATTGAGACAGTTAATAATTTGTATCCAAATGTCTTATTAATCAATATTGAAATCATGTGTTTTGCTTTTTTAATATTAATATGTGGTTTATTCGAAAGAATATTGCCAAACTGTTTTTGCTTTCTTTGGTATTTGAGCTAGTTTTATTTTTCTCTATCTTTATATTTATTATTTGTTCCCATATTCACTAAATATCATAAATTTATTCAGTTTATTGTTTCGAGAAATTGCAATAGAAATTTTTAGATCAAAATAGCCGAAAATATGCATTTCTAAATGAAGCATGATTATGCTCCATTTTACATGACATTACTGTATTTTTCATCATTTTGTCACCAAACGATTCATTGCATCGTTTTCACATTCGTGGTAAAACACAAAAAATGGCTTCAAGTTATGAGCTTTACATTGCAGGAAAAATTTTGCTGGTACATCACTTGCTACTACTGTTTATTTGCTATTACTATTATTATTTGTCATCTTGATGACTATTTTCCCAAAATGCGCGTTTATGTTGTTTAATTTGGTTGTATCCAGGTTGTTAGATTTATTCAACTTCAAAATATCTTTTTGAGTTGAAAATCGAAATAATATGTATGTTTCTATTTAAAAGACGCTAATAGTTGATTTTGCTTGTCTTTTTTTCGTAGAGTTGTTAATAATGTTCTTTTGTCAGAGAAATATTAAAAGCTTAGATAAAGATATATTAGAGGGCGGAAGTACTGCATCGGTCCAATTCCGTCTTTCGTAGGATTCTGCAGCAGGAAAGCTAGCAGAACCCTACGAAAGAAAGGAATTGGCCGGAAATTATTTAGAACTAATAAAAGCTCAGAAATTCAATGTTTCTCTCTTATATAGTAATTGACTGAATAATAATAATCGATAACGTAAATCGACAATAAAACTGTAATTACTTATCAATTAATTTATAATTCGAATCACTCCGCTAATTTCGCTTCAACAAATTTTGTTATTCTAAATTGCTTTTTTCAAATTTTTAAAAGTCTTTAGGCACAAATTTTTATACGATAAGATGCTTTTTCGAAAAATTGTAGTCTGAAAATACGTCAAATAAGAAACTATTCAAGATATTTTTTTCTTATTAAATGTGCGTTCATTCGTTTAATCTGACTGGAGTGCGACAAGAAAACGTAAACAACGCAGCAACGCGCGTTAAAATTACCACGGAATATTCCAAACGCGAGTGATTCAACGTATTATTTTTAGACGTGCTTTCAGCGTATTTTTATTCTTTAATAATACCACAGAACCGCCTACGACTATCCCATAATTTTTCGAGATTACGAAAAATTATGCAATAGTCGTCGCGGTTCTGACGCAATCAAATGATTAACGATTTAAAAATGTAATTTACGTATTTTAAAAGTTCAAAAAGTCGCGATTCAAGGTGATACGTAGGCAATTAATGTCTAGATTTAGCACGCGGTGCAAATACGATTATCTTACGCTGCAGTTATATATTCTAAAATATATAGATAAGTCAAAAATCGGTCGAATGCTCTGGTGTCGCGTCTGCAAGTATCGCGAACAAATTAGATCGCTTGATTCAATTTACAGGAGATGTCCTACTTTTCCAAAAAAATTCCACTACGTGGAATTATTAAAATTATAACGATGCTTTGTTCACCGTTTTGTTAAACTCTTTTCATTCGTCAACATTCGGTGTTCGAACTGGATAAAACGCCCGCGAGGTCACTACCCCTCGATCACTATAGATCGCTTAATTATTTACTACAGATCTACTGTAACTTAGTAACTCGACAGTAATATCAATTATTATATTACATAAATATGTAATGACAAGTCATCCAATAATTTCAAATTCATGAATATACGCACGCTATAAGTACGTTTTATTTGTATGAGGATGTGTGTCCTGACACGCCTAAATTCATGAATTCGCACAAGTTATTGGGCTGTTATAATGTTATGTTATGTTTATCTTATCGCATGGAAGATCGATGATACAACAGCGAGTGAAACAACCAGTTATTGCGTATACAACTTAATCACGATCAGAGGCGACGGTCTTTCTTTTCGTAGTGATTATCTATGAATAAAGTTCCGGGTCTAAACGCTCCTAAACTCATGAATTCGTACGTCGATGTATCAAATTACATTTGCTATTGTTTTATTTTTGAAATATTTTGACTTGTCTGACAGTCTTAAATTCATGAATTCAAGATTATTGCCTCAATTACGTTGTAATTATATTAACTTTCGGTCGGAGAAATTCGATGATGCAATAGCAGCAAGCGGTATATAATCGGTTACATGTAGTACAATTTGCCATGCATAACCGATGAGACACGACTTAAAAACACGATCTTTTTAGTGGTTCTTTGCTCTTGTTTTTAGTGTTTAAAGCTCGAGCTCTAAAAACAATATTCACGTTAAATACAAAAAGCTTTGAATGATATTCTACGAAAAAAGTACCATATATATGTATATATATATATTTATATATAATAAATGTATAGTTTTCTTATTATCTTCTAGCGAAAAACGAGTAGCGGCGAATCGTAGTTAGATTTCGAAATCTAGAAAAGTCGCGGAAGATAACTGACGGAATATATAATGGGAGTGATATGCGGGAATGACGAAAGGGCGCATTCGTAAGAAAAAAAGGGAAAAAAAGGAAAAAGAAAGAAAGGGAAGAAGTAAGGAAAAAAAGGGTGTAGAAAAGGTGTGAGGGGAAAAGGGTTAAAGAAAATAAATCAAAACGTTGCGGGCAAAGACTCTATATCTATACAGTAGATTTAAATCTTATTTTTTCAAAGGGAATGAATTAATTGCGCGGCCATTAAAAGTAGAAGTAAGCAGAGATGAAAGCAAACGCAAAGGATGGGGAAAAAACTCAACGCCCGTTAGGGGGTGGCTAAAAAACGAACGAAAAATTCTGAACACCAGAAGCCCCGAAAAACTAATGGCTGCATCTGCTGCAACTAACCGCTGTCTCTACCGCTGTGCATCTATACGCCGCATAACCGCCTGATAATTATGCGATCACAGACGCGACGCGGAATCAACTGAGGCGGCAGCTCGACTTTCGACGGCCGGGTTGATGACGCTAATAAGGTGTTCGATTGGGACTATTTTCGTTCGACGGGACAGGGTGTTTTTCTGCACCTCCCTCTCGACGAGGGAGGGCGTGTAAATGAATCGGATCAAAGAAACGACTTTTCTCTTTTTTCTTTTTTTGTCGGTTAAACAATTTTTTAATCTCTTTTCTTTTTCTTTGAGAGACGCCGTTATCCTTCGCCAAAGTGCTCTATGAAAGATACGCGTATCAAAAGAGGACGATCGCGCTGCACGATCTTCGGTCAGTCACGCTAGTTTCGGAATCTTTATGAAATCACAGTTTTACCACAGTTCTCGTTTTACCTCCCCTTCTTTAATCTTTTTTTGTTGTTGCTTTCTGTTTAAT